AAAAAGTTAATTGATTAATCCTACAAAAAATTATAAATTTAATATTTTTCATGTATTATAAAAACTAAAAGATATAGGATTATATGCTAATATAGAAAAGTTTGTATTTTACACAGCTCAAATTGACTTCTTAGCATACATCATTTCAAATGATATCCTTATGATGGATCCTATAAAGATTTAAACTATTATGGGTTGAAAGATTTCAAAAAAAATAAAAAATATATAATATTTTTTGAAATTTGTCAATTATTATCAAATCTTTATTAAGAAATTTTTTTCATGTTGCGGCTCTTCTTACTCATTTGACATGTAAATACAAACTTAAGTAGAATAAAGAAGTTGAAGTATTTTTTGAAGCCTTAAAGATAGTATTTATTTTTGTATCAATCTTATATTGTATTGACTTTATTCAAGCATTCTTTACGAAAAAAAATGCATCAAATTTTATTATTGGTGTAGTTTTGTTACAAATGGGAGTAGATGACATACTCCATCTAATAGGTTTTATTTCCAAAAATATTACAGTAGCCAAAATTAATATAAGATCTATAATAAAGAGTTTTTTTTAATTATAGATTCATTTCAAGAATAGCGTCATTATCTAGAAAGCACTTTTAGTCCAGTCAACATATATATGGATCACAAGAACCTTAAGTATTTCATGTCAACACATGTTTTGAATTGTTGTTAAGGCCCCTAGAGCATGTTTTTATCAAGATTTGATTTCGAGATTACTTAATGTTCCAAAAAATAACAAAATTTGTTAGATGTCTTTTCTAGACATTTTTATCTTATAACAAAAGAAAAAGATGCATCTTTTAATCAACAAAGAATAATTTTCTTGACAACAAAGCATTTCCATCTTTGAACAATGAAATCAACATTAACTATTGATTTAAGCATTCTCAAGCAAATTCAACCAATTATGTCCTTTGATCTTCTTATTCATGATATTAAGAATAATTCTTTTAAGTCTTTGAATACTTTTAAGTTTGAATTCAAGAAAAATCTACTATATTATAAGAGACAATTATACATTCTAAAAGGCAAAGCATAATTATACATTCTTCAAGCTTGTCACAATTTTTTAGCAATAAAATATTTTTGATACAATAAAATTTTGAACCTAATATTTAATGATTTTTAGTGGCCTCAAATGTAGAATATAGTTAAAGAATTTGTATAATTATGTGTCATTTGTTTAAGATCAAATATTTCTCCTCATCAATGTTATGGATTTCTTCAATCATTACCTATATCAGAATAACAATGGTCTTCTGTTTCTATGGATTTTATCATAGATCTTTCAAGCTTAGGTTCTTATGACTTTATATTCATGATAGTAGAATGATTCATCAAGATGGCACATTTTGTACTATATACAAAATCTATTATAGGTAAAGAAATAGTTAATTTTTTTTTTAACATCCATTACTATTATGGATTACAAAGAGATATTAAATCAAATAGAAAGATGTAATTTTTATCAAGATTTTAGAAAATTCTTTTTAAGATATTAAAGATAGATATAAAGCAATCATTGGCTTTTTATCTTCAAACTAATGGCCAAATAGAGCAAATGAATCAAATTTTGGAGTAATATTTGAGATGTATCATCAATAAGATAATTGAATAATTCTTTTAATAGTCACAGAGTTTTCTTATAATAATATGGTATATTTTTCTATTCAACAAATAACTTTCTTAGCCAATTATGGTTATTATCTATGACTTAATATATTTGACTTTTTAAAAGTTGATAATCTTGAGGTGGAAGATTTGGCAAATCTTTTGTCATTCGTGAACTTCTTTTAGTTGTGCCTTTATTATTAAATGCAACAATAAAGGCATTGTCATGTAATAATACAATTATATGGTGAAAAATTTTAAGTAGGTTAGGATCACAAAAATAGTATTTTGAGGGTCAATAAGGGTTTTCAAGATCTTTAGCAATCTACTAATTAGATTGAGATGAAATTTGTGTATATGGATAATAAAATTTATTTCCAATATATATGCGAATTTTGAGAGGTATTTAATAATAGAATTAAGATATTTTAGCTTGGAGAGATTGATATCAAGATTGAAAAAAGAGATTAGCCAATATCTGAGTACATTTTAGGATTTATCATCTATTTGGTATGTGAAATATTGTTCAAAATATTGGTGCTTATTGTTAACTATATTATTATAAGGTATAAAAAGTTTGAGTCAAAATCAATGATTTAATTATTTTTTATTGAATTATTAATCTACTATAAGGATGTTAAGAGTTTTATTTAAGATTTAGGATTTTATTAAAGATTCATTAAGATTGATTTAGGATTTAGGATTTGATTAAAGATTCATTAGAATTGATTTAGGATTTAGGATTTGATTAAAGATTCATTAGAATTGATTTAGGATTTAGGATTTAATTAGGATTTAGGATTTTATTTGGATTTGATTAGAATTTAATTAGGATTTGATTAGGATTCATTAAAATTAGTTTAGGATTTAGAATTTTTATTAGAATTTTATTAAGATTTGATCTAATATTTAATTAATATTCAATTATGATTTTAATTAAGATTTGACTAAGGATTTGATTAAGGTTTATTAAGATTTTATTTAAAATTATTTGATTAGGATTTAAAATTATTTTGAGTATTTTAAAGATTTTTATTATTTTTAAATTTTTTATTTATAATATTTTTTTAAAATTATTATTATTTATTTAAAGATTTATATTTATATTTCTTTAAGATTTCTTATTATTTTTTATTGAGGTTAATTTAGGATTTCTTTGTGTTTCTTTGTAACTTCAATTAAATTTATTTTGAATTACTTAAAGTTTAATTATGATTATTAAGGTTTATTTAAAGTTTATTCAAGATTCTATTTGACTTAGTAGGATTGTTATTATATTTTTACTTACCTTCTAGATTTAACTACCCAATGCATTTTCAAGCAAGAATATATGTTATATGACAATGCAAGTAAAAGAAGCTTAAGAATGACAAAAGTTTAATGCAGATGCTTATTGTGAGGAATAACTTCAATTCCATGTTGGTGATAAGGTATGGTTATTTTTTCATAATATCAAGATTATCCACCCTTATAATAAGTTGGATTACGATAGACTTCAATCATTTCCTATATGTGAACAGATTAATCCAATTGCTTATTAATTGTATCTATTGGAGTCTATTAAGATCCATCTTATATTCCATGTATCTCTTCTTAGGCCATACAAGACAATAGATATATTAAGAAGACAACAAATACCACCTCCTCTTATAGAAGTGGATAATAATCAAAAATATGAGATTAAAGAAGTCTTAGATTCAAGGCAATGCTAAATTAGATTAAAATATCTTATTTATTGGTATAGATATGATATTAGTAAATACACATGAAAGCCAATCAAGAATCTTGCAAAAAAAAAAAAAAAAAAAAAAAAAAAAAATGATACTTTTTTATTGACAACATCCATCAAAAATAAGATGAAGGATAACAAATCTTTGTTATAAAAAGAAATATAGTTCAAGAAAGACTACATTCAACCTTCTATCCTTGTTTTTAGTTTATGTGTATTTGTGGCATTAAGGATATGGAGAATCAATAGCCAGCAGATTCAACATAGGAGCCATTGTTTGTTGACTTATTAGATGAGATATTAAAATTATTACAATTTTAAAGACCACATAGTCAAGATAAATGGCCAGATATAATATATTTGGCATCATGACCTTAGAAGAGACTCCCAATATTTGATGGTTTTATTAGAAGTAGGACTAATATTTAATGGTGTTATTAATATTTTGTTTGAAAAAAATTATTAATGCTTTAATAATCATCAAATAACTTGGTGGTCTTTTTACCTTGAAATAAGACATTATTGGTGGCTAAAAAGACCTATCAACTACTTTAGAACAAAACAAAGATAAAAATATGTAACAAATACAATTCATCTCATTTTAAACTTCCTCAATATGTGATCACCACTCCTCATGGAATTTGTCTCTAAAAATGAAGTAATGTCATGGATATACATATTTATTCTAATAGTTATATAGATATTATGAATATATAAAATTAGGTTAATTTGATAATATCTTATAAGAAGGCTTCTTAGAAGCTTTATAAACAAAATTTTATCTTTATACATATCTATAGGTGATTAGTAGATTAGAAACTTGGCCAACAAATTAGCCATGTATCACTTGTATTAGTAACTTATGGTATAAGTTAACAATGTAGCATTCATATAAAAAACTTGCTCTGTAAGTTAAGATATGTGCCTTGAAAATTAAACACATGTCAGAGGTCTTTTTGAATATCAGTATATAGTTTGTAGTTAGATAGTATATGTGGAGGCAAGGATAAAACCTTCTTCACTCTTATCAATGCCTTTTTAGTCCCTAGTCTTGTTTCAAGATTTTTTAGTTTTCTTGTCTTTGATAATAGCCATTCTAATTTAATATTGTACCATCATTGAGTATTTTTTTAGCCGTTTCGAATGACACAAGTGTGTATTGATCTTTTAGTTCTTTGAAATTCATGTCTTTGATAGTATATCCATTTTATTTTTTGAAAAAAAAATAAGATGGATATTAAAAATTTCTCAAAGAAGACAAAATTTTCTATTTTGATGAAGTATAGGATCTTTAAGAAAATATTGTAATATTATTTAAAAGTTCTTTAGAAATTATATTAATGTCTAAAAATTGTATTAAAATTATATTATTTCTTAAAAGTAAATATTAGAAATCTTAGTTTTCTTAAATTTGAAATGTATAATTATGCATTTGCATATATTAATTTTAATAATTTATCATTGGTGCTATTTGCATGTAAAATATTTAAAATGGGAAAACTTTAGAAGGTATATGGATAAACCATTCTATTGGTAGAACAAACCAATTTCAAAATCATGTAGTGGTGTTTGTATTCGATTGTAAAGTTAAATTTTTACAAACCAAACTTGTATTTGGTTAATACAAACTCAAAAAAAATACCAATTTCAAAATCCCTATCTCATTAGTAATAAAATACAACGAATATAATATCTCAAATCTTCATATTTCCGCATCTAGAAAAATAATAACACAACCCCAACTCTTAAACGACATTCCAACTGCAGACACACATGTCCTTGAAAGCAAATCCGCAGCTCACAAAGATTACGAAAGTGTAAACCCCAAAAGTAGAGTCATCCAGAATCATCCAGAGAAGGAGATTCTGGATACCTGATGAGGCGAATACGACTAAGAATGACGAAGAATGACTGAGAATGACATTATCTAACAGCGACGTTAATATAGTAAAGGTAGGAAATGGTTTTTACGAGAATAGGAAGAGAGTAGGGGTAGGGACATGGGACTCACTTTATGGAGGAAAAGCGATCGGATGGCAATCTCAATGAACGGATTGGAACGCTTTAGGGAGGAGGTGGGGAGGGGGCGGGGGGGTGGGGGCAGAATCTACATGCAGGGAAAAGCGAATGAGGCACAGTAACCGACACTGAAGTGGAAGGGAAGGGGAAGAAGAAGGGTAAATATGGGGAAAGGGAAAGATGGCCCTGCCCTGCTCTTCTCTTCTTTTGGATGAGGGAGGAAAAGGAAGGCGCCAGAATCTGAGCTGGGTCTATCAGTATATCAGTACTTTGTCCCGTTCACTGGTTGAATGCTGTTCGGCAAATCGCGTGTGGGGCTCTGCAGCGCATCAATCTGCGGCGCGGATCAACCGAATCGCTGGCATAAAGAAGAATACACTGCGGCTTACACTGGAATACGACCCGATCGATGCTAGTGGACCCTGCCTGCTGCTGTTGATGCTGCTGCTGCTGTTCTTTCATCCTAAGCCTCGTCAATCAGTGGCATGCAACTGATAGCATTGCATGGTCTGGATTCCCTAGCACTGGGTTCGACTGCCAGTTCCCACCCGGCGTCTTGCCTTCGTTCTGGAAAGGGGACCCGACCCTCTGCCTGCTGATTCCAGATACCTGCTGCCAAATCGAGCCAGTCAGTCGGTCGCTTGCTCTCGCTTGCGATTGAGCCCTGATCGAATGAGAGAGTGAAATTATTCGGAAAGGTTTCTCACCCGGGGATGCAATTGGATCCTGGAGGTGGTCGATCTGCTTTCGTCGATCAGTAGGGCCTACAGAGCACGATACCCGACGAAGTCCAGACTGGACCTGGAGGAACCCGGGCTCGTCGGACTTTTGGGTTTGGAGGTGTGGAGCTGTAGTAATACGGACATTTTTGGTAAAATTCTGGGGTTCTGTGCTCATTAACGTCTCGCTCGCCGTGATCAAGCCACTTTGACCCACCTTGCATGAGAATTTCTGTTCAAGGTCCGGCAGAGAGCTTGTCGCCAGATTGCGAGGCGCATGTACTCCTAGAGGAATCATATCTGGACTGGTATCAGGGGAGGCCCACAATTTCCTTAGATCGCCCGAATTTTTATCTCTGCTTTCACAGGCTGTGAACACTGGAGTTGGGCCATGCGATTGAGGACAAAATATATTGATGTGAGCGCCCTTTGCAATCTTTGGAAATTGATTCCAGCCGAAAACACAAGTCGCATTCTTGGAGGACAGCACTAGGTTTCTGTACGGAGTACTATTTCGAAGACGCTGTTGCATGCAACCTCATCATTCGAGTGTTTGGAAAACCTGATGGACTTCCAACCAAACGTAGAAATGTAACAAAACAAAAGCATACGATCGGAAGCGTAATGACATCGATCGAAGATATAACGCCGTCATTAGAAGACATTAGTGATGGAGTGAACCTAATCAATCCACAAAAAAATGGTTCTGCGTACTTACAAGAACTTCAACCCGACACAGCATGAATGGTAATTACTCAGCTTGAGATAATTACAACATGTAACCAATCCATTCATGCACTTGCAGCTAAAGGCTGGTAATCTACGAACATCAGCAAACAACAATATCGTCAATCAACAACTTCCCACAGGTAAATGCAGGGATCTGACTTCCGGAGTCCCTACCTCTGAGTCAATGAACAGCACACCATTCGTAAAACAACTGGCAATAGAACTAAAAACTGGAAGACAACATGTCTCATAAGAAATATATGCCCAACAATGGTAAGAAGCTGGTACTCTTAGCAAAAAGAGATGGAAATGAAAGGCTTTTGAATTCAAGCATGCAGGCACAGGATATCCAACGTTTGGCTAGGCATTTCCAGGCATAAACGTGCATAAAAATTAGCATCTCCATGAGCACCAAGAAGTGGCAAACCCATCTATTACAAGTCAGCTTCCGATTTAAACCTCATATGCTTTCTTACAGCCATAATTTCAGTGAAGTTTCGGCGAGTGCATGTCCTCTTCTGATAGTCTGCAAAGAAAGAAATGGTCAAAGGAAAGCGAAGACCTGGTAAATCATGCATGCCAATTCACTGTTACAACTTTCTCGGAAAAATTCGAGAGGTCTCAATATATTATTGCTGAAAGACACAAACACAGGCATAAACACACCGCACACAAGTATAGGATTGAAGCATTGCACTGTGCCCAACAAAGCGTTTAAAACCACGAAGACTAGGCAGCATTACCGATTGACTATAGATAGATTAGAATTTTCTTGGCCGCCTTTAGCTGTCTCGTCCTTCGTTGGATCATTTAATAGATTTCAACGATCGGGCTTTAATTCCTCTACGCCGTTGATTGTGCTCAGGATTCTCTATATCAGCCTTGTCCGTAGGAACCTGATTGTAATTTTCACTGGAGCCTTCGATCGCCACTTTCGAGTGTAATTCTGGATTCAAGTTCACATCTACATCAGCAGCACCCGTTTTCTTCGTTTTAGCCAAGTTCAGACGAAGAGTACGCTTGTTCATTAGAGCTTGATGGTGTTCACAGAAAGAAAAACCTTCTTCGGTCTCCCGTGTGCACTGCCAGCCCCTGCCATCATATCGCTTACACTGCCTGGGTCCAATTGCGAGCTCATGCTGGGAAGAGGGTGGCCGTCTCCTGCGTTTCTTGAATTCCACTTTCTCGGCCAAAGGTAAATCAATCCCTAATATATGACAATTTGAAGACTTATCCTTAGTACCTTTCGAACCAACTGCCGTTTTCAAACGTGTCTGCACTGAGCCAGCAACTCGCTTCCTTCTACCACTATCAAAACTTGGAGAATTGCCACTCATGTCCTCCCTGGGTTGTTGAGAGGACTCGGATGATGTTTCTGCAACAACAGCATGTGGCACGCTATGTGTGGTATTGTAGATATAGTATTTTCCATCTTCGAGATGAATAAAGTCCTGAGTGCGTAAGACCTTGACAACTTGCACGCTTGATCTCTCGTGGATTCCTTCTTGCAACCCCGGCAGATTGTACTCCACAAGCTTAGCCACTGCCTCTCGAGCAGTCAACCCACTATTTCCTGTTCGCTCAAATACCATCAGTAATGACCTCATCAGCAGCTCTGCACCTGCGTTGTCTTCGTGCTTAATGCTTCCATTAATAATCCTTTTATCCTCTTCAGCAGGCTCGGAGTTCTGGTGTCTATCTGCGACTTGTTCTTCTTGCACATCCTTATGATAAGTTTTCTCCGTCACAAACCTCTCTGCCAGAAGTAGAGCCACGCCAAAGCATCAGCAGAGCCAAGCATACCTCATCATTCATACAGCAGCGGGTACCACTTGCGTGCTTGAACTCAGAGCTAAACCTGGTCAGTAATAGAATATAGCACAATGTTCTATAGTGTACTACACTGTTCTTCCAATAATTCACCAACACATTCTCCATGTGTCAACCCCCTAGAGATAAAGCCCATGCAAATAAAGCAGCAGCTCTAGCTTTTTCTGTTCATTTATCACCTGTAGAAAGGTTCATCCAAGAACCACTGAAATACTGCATCCACAAAGCCAAAAGCGAATATCCATCGCGAACCATTCAAAGATGAAAATAGATATGCTATTCTCATGAAGTGCTGTCACAGCTTAGCTTATCAGGAAAGAGTTTTTGATAATTTGATGCATACCTCCTTCAAATATCGTAACTTGTGAACTTTCGAGGTGACCACCTGTCATTCTGCAGACACAACCCAACAGCAAGGTAAATTGTCGCTCTCATCAGGCTCAACTATCAGACCTCATTCAACTAGCAAGCTCTTCAGGCGACAAAGATCTTTAGGTTTCCAGGTAAAATACTTCAAAAGTCTATCTTGTTACAATTGAACGTCCTATGCGCAGCAACCCATGACTGTCACTATAAAAATAAAAATAAAAATAAATAAATGAATAAATAAAAATCCAGCGAAATGTTAGTCGTCTGTGTGTGTCAGACTTAGATTGAGAAGGGTAATACATGATGGGAATTGAAAACATCATGACCTGATTTTTGCAGACGTAATGAACCTTCAGATACGTCTAAAATACGTAAAGTCGCTATGACCGAAGAATTACACCATAGTCTGAGCCTAGGTTTCACTGGCATATGCATACATGAACTTCTAAGGAATTTGGTGATTTATACCTTTCCATAGGATTAGAGGAGACTCCTGAGAATCCACGGCATTCTGAGGCTCCTGATACTCCTGGAGTGCTAGAGGATGACTTTTCATTCGAGGCTGGAGGGGCCCTGGCCGCCTGCTTCACATTCCCACATTGATAAAAACTCAGTTACAGAAAACATGCACGTTGGCACCGATGTAAAGTCTCATTTAGGATCACAAATGAAACTAAAGTGTACAAAAATCAACGCCATCCGTTGATCACAGTGGATCATGTTGAGGATTTTACGAACGACCTAACCATCATCGTCGCCGCCACCAACCATTGTAAGATTGAACCTCACATGCTTTCAAAGTCAGCACTGCTGAAAATGTATATATATATAATTTCACAGACCGAGCAGCCCGACCACACTCTCCAAAACCCTTACTTAAGATCACTACACCCTCAGCAGCCCGTTACTTTGAAAAGCATGCTATTGTAGCGTCTCAGCTCCAATTTAATTTCATGAGAATTATTCGGGCTTCAACATTATTAGTTCCAGTCATGTACATCTAAGCTATCCACGGTCTTAACCACTCGGAATGGATGCCCCAAACCTACATGCAAACCGGCATGCTTAGTGATATTCTGGAAGCCTATTGTCTTGCCTACTGTCCACATGAAGAGAATCGCCACATCTTGGAGCATTAATTCAGTGCATTCAACCACTGATTCTAACAATCCGTGTTCCTTCTCAGAACCCCAACAAGTACCTCACTTTATGTATGCACATGTTAAGTTAGTCCAGCTGGTCCAGCTTGTTTTTAGAGGTTTCGCTATACTGTGGCCAAGGATTAATAAAGCCAGTCATTGCATTGAGTCGGTTGCAAGACGTGTGTTACTGGTCTGAGCAGTAGTAGTAATCGTGCTGTGGACAGCAGGCACAAGTTCGTAACGGGATAAACATCACCTCAACAGACGCTGGGGGCCGCTTCCGAATACGCATGGTGGCCTGCTGGCGGCCCCAGACGTGACGGAGGAATCAAAGCAACTTGCGAAAGGTCGGAATTTTGTATAACTCCGGCTGCACCACCACACTTCCAATGCATTAGCCGATACCAGCCTTAGTCCGTAATTAATCAACAATCAAGGTCGACCCGCCACCAGTCGCACCAGGCCCCACGCGCTCTACCACAGCTACTGTCTGTCGTTGTCCTCACCCGATCTTACGCTCCCACAGAATCAACTTGAACCTCCCTCCAAATACCTCTACATTCCTCCCCACTCGCGCATCCACCTCCCTGCACCCCTACTCTTGCTGCGACCCTCCTTCTCACACCACTCACCTTACAAGGAAATATATATATACACACACATATTATATATATATATATATAGAGAGAGAGAGAGAGAGAGAGAGAGAGAGATGTATACACTTTTTAAATAAGGGAAAAAGGGGGAGAAAAGAACCAGAAACAAAAGAATAGGAGGGGGAAAAAAAAAAAAAAAAAAAAGTCTGTATCCTCCCATCATCGACATCAGCATCCCATCACCACACATACACACACACACGCACACACTCACTCACGGCGCTCGCGGTCTCTCTCCATGGAGCCCCTCTCTCTCATCGCAGGCGACAGCCTAACGGTGTCTACCTTCGGAGCTAGCGTTCATCAATCCAACTGTTGTACTCGCCCCCGTACAGAAGAGAGCTCGAAAGGCAGCAGCTAGCATCTCTCTTTCGCTCGCTCGCTCCCTCACTCACTCACTCTCTCAGTCACTCTCACTCACCACCACTTTATGGCACTTAAACACCCACCAGCGTGGGCCGACACTCAATTCTTTCCCTCACACCATATCAGCAGCAGCAGCAGCAGCAGCATCCCCGCAAATCCCATCTCACCCCATTCAACAGGCACCCCCTAGGCTTCCGACGCTCTCATTTTCCCAGCTCTTCCCCTCTCTCTCTCACACACCCACTTACCGTGAATCGATTATATTACTTACATCCACCTCAAGGGCCTCTAATTACTGCAAACGCCACCCCTCGCTTGACACTAAGCTCATACATCCTCCTTCCTCCTCCTCCTCCCCCCCACGGTATGGCCTTGCGTGCTCCAAGCCCTGCGCTTCCTCGCAGCAGCAGCTGGATCCCACCAGCAGAGGAGAGAGGAGGACGAGGAGAAGGATTGCTAAACCTTTCCCTTGCCTTGTCTTCGCCGTTGCGAAAAAAAAACCCCTTGGTGGGTGATGAGCACAGGAAAAAGCGCAGGGAGAAAGTGGAAGGCGCCGGTGGGTAAGTTCCCCTTCCAGCGTGTTCCAAAAAGGCGCCCCTGGCACGGGTCCAGGACGGGTCGCGAACGGGGGCAGGGAGAGGGGGGCCCGGTCTACACGACAAGGGCAGGGGGAGCTGGGTGCCAACGTGGCCTTGCATGCTGCACCCGACTTGTCACTGGCTGCAAAGCCAGATCGGTGCCATACACTCCTTCTCTTTCTTACTTGCATGCCTTACTTGCCCCCACTTACACACCAATCCCCCCACCCCCCCCCCGTTCTGCATACACAGGCAGGTACGGAAAGCTACAGGAAGACACCTCCACTTTCATAAATATATATATATATATATCATCTATTTTACTACTCACTCACTGTTGTATACTACTCTTTATTCCACATGATTTTACACTGTATTTCTTTAATGTGTTTTTATTTTTTTGGTTCAATTTTAAATTTCCAATTTTTAAATTTTTTGTAATTGTGATTTTTAATTTCCAAAATATCATTAATTTATTTTTTATTCTATTTTAATATGATTTTCCAAGGTATTTTTTTGTTTGTTTTTTTTTTTTTTTGAGAATATAATACTTGTTTTATTTCTTAATGTTACTTCTAAAATTAAGGTATTTAAATATATATATATATATATATATATATATAAGAGTATGGTGTGTGTCCTTCGTACTCTGTGTATTAACTTATTTAATGTAAGTTACTTTTTTGCAAAATTTTATGACAGGTGATTGTTGTATTAAATTTTTGTGAAGTGAAAACAGTAATACTGTTTGTGAGTAATGTAGTATTCTTGTTCTGATTCTAAATATTTAAGCAATATTTATCTACAAATGTCTTGTTCTAATAGCAACCAAATTTTCATGATACAATAATCAAGTGGAATTTTCATGGACCTTTGATTGATATATATATATATATATATATATATTAAAATGATTTACATAAAAATATTTGATATTTATAATAAGAAGAATATACTTATTTAATGACTTACATATTATGAGAACTTCTTTTGAAAAAATACAAAAATAATATTTCCTAAAATAATTCGTTTATATTTGACTAATTTGTAAGTTTTTTATTTAAATGTCTTATTTTATATTGCATTAGTCAATGCCCTAAAAGCTTTGATCACAATAAAAGAATAAGATATGATTTGATTATTAAAGATTTATTTTCTTGGTATAGTAAAATAATTTAGTAAATTAGCCGACATAAATATTTTATCAAATAGGCCATGAGGCTTACTATGTACAAACCTCTAAATATAAAAAGTTACTTAAAGGATGATGTTAAAAAGATAATCACATTATTTAGAAATTTGAATCTAAGTCTAATATACAATTTATTAACATAAAGCCAAATATGCTAATATTACATTAAAGTTTTGACAATAATACACATTGTGGCATTAAATTTGTCTAATGCAATTGTTCTTTTAATCCTAAAATAATGTTGACATATTGTTACAAGTCTTTTCTTTGAATCCAACGTCTTCTATCCATTCTCATTAATGTTTTATTTTCAATTCAATTTTGTCATAACATGAAACTACTCTTACTATTTATTTATTTAAAGCCTTTGTTGGCTATTTAGATAATATTTATGTATTTTTCTCTATTTTATATTTTATAAATTGAATTCATGTTGTTGTCACAAAAAATATATTGTTTTGTAATTCAATTGTCCAAGTTACAAAACTCTTCAAAATCTCTTCAAACTACATATCTAAACATTATCCTTCTTATTGATTTTTGATTTTTGTCCTTTGCAAAAAAAAATCTAAAAATAAATAATTAAAATTCCAAACTATAATAAATAATAATAATAATAATAATAATAGTAATAATAATAAATAATAATAAATAATAAATAATAATAAAATAAAACTTCATGGGTAATCTCAAATGGATGTTACTTGATTAAAAAAATAATGAAATTCTTCATAGTCCACTCACAAAGAAAGAATCCCAATTATCCTAGCCAACGACCATAGCTCCCATCTACACCCAAAATCAAATATTTAAAAATTTTCAATCTCACACTCATCATCTCTCCATATGCCTCAATAAAAGAATGCTAAATCAACATATAAAAGAAAGAAAGAAAGAAAAAAACAAAAACAAAAAAGAAACAATGCTAATTCTAAAAGAGCAACACCCCTTGCAAACATTGTAACACCAAAACACTTTTTTTTGTGGTAGAAGTAAATCATATGTGATGTTAAGGCCTTGTAAATTTATAATCATGGTTCTGTTAAAGCCATATGAATTGCCGCATAATTTAACTTTTATTTTACTTTTGCTTCACTTTTAATGAAAACAATAAAAAATATGGGCAATCAAAGATCAAATTTGTCTCCTCTAGTTTATTCTATTGTTTTATTCCCTTCTGATGTGACTTATATAAGAGATTCTACTATATCAAATATAAACATCATTTTAGTATTTATATTGGCCATCAATTTTATCTTCTTGTGATTAGATTTATTTTTTAGATTTATATCACTTACATTCTATTATAAATAAAATTGAAAATTATATTTTTTTAGTCAGAGATTCTTTAAACATATCTTCTAAATAACACATATTATATTTAATTATATTTTTTAATAAATAATTGCACACATACAAATAATTTTATCAAAGTTGTTCTTTGTTGACGATATCTAATTTCACATTAGATGGTTCATCCAACTATGTTGTGTATCTACTCCATCACCAAAACCAAAATAAGTCCATTTCTTGTAGTTGTACACACTTCCACTATTGCATAATGATATTATTTCAATAAAATGTGAAATCAAGAAATTATTAAAATACCAATAAATTCCATCTTATGCTATATAATTATGATTTTATAAATTTGATAATACAACTTAGATAGCTCATGTTAAATATTATTGTTTAGAAAAATAAATAAATAAATAAATAAACTTAATCAATAATCTTATATTAGATTAGACATATTTTAGATTTAAAGTTACAACTAATCTTCTTAATGTGACTGAATTTGATAGAAGAAGATAATAAGTAATATAATAATATATACTAAAACAAATTTAAAAAATTTAATATGGTAGGTAATATTAGCTATATCATTTTATTTTATAATGGTATAGCTAGAAGTGTCAAAGTAGAATAACTAATAATACAAAAAAGATTACATTCTTATAGTTTTAGTATTAGATGTGAATCAGGCATAAGTACTGAGCCATACCTATAATCTAAAGATAGATAGTGCAATTTTATTATGTTATTTATTTTAAAATAGGAAAATACACAAATATAATCAGTTAATCTAAATAATTATTTATTTTAATTTATTTGAATTTTAAATAATAGAATTCAAAATATAAATAAATTATATATATATATACTATAAATGGTATAAAATACATATTTATGGTCTCAAAATATCTAAAATATTTTACAATATAAAAGACATACAAATAACATCTCTCTTCTTCTTCTTTTTTTCATTCTCTCATTTTTTTTCCTTTTATATTATTTTTATATTTTAGAGGTAGTAGAAGGAATGACATATAAATGTAGAAGATATGCTGAAAATAAGTAGTGGTCTATCTAAGATTAAGAAGACAAAGAAATCCTCTCTTCTGTTTTTTTTTTTTTGTTTTTTTTTTTTGTTTTTTGGACGTCTAAATCATTATGTTATAATTATGATATTTGTTTTATATATTTTGTTAGTAAAATAGATTTCATGGACTAAATTTTTATTTTTCTTTATCGTTTTCTATATTATTTATATATATATATATATATATATACACACACATATATACATATATAAAAATAAGTTAGAAATAGTTCTATTGAAAAATTATAGATAGTGGACTTTACTTGAAAAGCTCTGATCTTCTTGCTCTATATTTTTGTTATATTAAATGTTACTACAATCTGGCTTGTTTCTAAACTTTGTTCATTTTCTACTTTTCTTCTTTTTGACTGTTTAATTTATTTTAATCATTGATACAAATTCATAAATAGTTAATTATTTATTATAATCATAGGAATATTTATTAAATTACTATATTGATTTCTTTATTAGATTCTATTTTTTTATTGATATAATATTTTTTCTTATTTTCTTATTTTACTTCTTAGTTATAATTATACTTTAAATGAAATAGTGTTTTTATTTTTTATTTGGATCTTTTTTAATTTATTGATTATGGTCATTAAGAATTTAAAATTTTGAATTATTGATATAATTAAATAAAATATAAAATTTTATGTAATATATTTTATATTAATATTTACATAAATATATTATAAAAAATATTATATTTTATATTATTATTTACCTTATTTATAACAAAACTTGAACTTATTTTTGACAAAAATAAAGTTGACATATAAAAGACTTTGAAGTTTTAAAGTAAAAAAATTTAAGAAAATAAGTTTAATAAGAATAATAGTTTTCTTTTATAAAAATTGAAAGTAAAAGATTTGCTTTTACAAATAGCAGAAAAATTGCAAAAAAAATATCACAATTTGTAAAAAAAAAAAAATTAAGACTCATACATGAGATGCTATATAATGTTATGTTACTTGAGCTTTTGAGGTTATTGAGAAGCATGAGTCACAACTTCATAAGACTAGACTTAATAGACATGATGGTCAAAAAAAGATAAAGACTAATTTATTGCTCAATTGGAATTATACA